ATTCTCGGACGGCGCCGGAGGTTCGTGGCCGTTCTCCGGAACGCGCCAACTGCCCGCCCCATCAGTCCGGACGCGTGGGATTTCTTTCCCCATTTCTCTCTTTTAAGTGCAATAAAAGGGCGGGGGGATTCGTGGATTTTTAAAAATTTCGTTTGCTTCTTTCACTGTGGCGGGGAGGCAATTCGCTCCCAGCCGGGAGGTGCGGCCCGGGGAGGGGCCAGGAGCGGGAACGTGCCCGGTGCTGCCCAGTCTTTGTCTGCTGCCTCCGGATGCCCAGCGATGGGGGAATGGACCATCTTGGAGAGGCTGCTGGAAGCCGCCGTGCAGCAGCACTCCACTATGATCGGGAGGTAAGGGCGCCCCGCCGGCCGTCAGCGGGCCTGTGGGACGGCTCTCGGAGCACCTTCTCACGTCCACAGTACCCCCCAGGGCCCCCGTCCGTCCTCTGCCTCCTCCCCGTCGTCTCGGTCTGTGCGCCTGTGTTCCTGGCGTTGAGGGATTACCCACGCCCAGCGACGCCCCCTCCTCCTGTTACTCCTACTTGCTCCCCTATCCCTTCCCTCGGAAGCGCCACCAGGGAGGGGCGGTCACTCTTCCCACATCAGAAAAGGAGTTGTTGGCTCTGTCCTGGTCTCCCCCACTCCCCAGAGTCACAGCCAATCTCCATCCGGTGCCCTAAATAGAATCTACAAAGAAGGCAGGATTGCATTTGGCCAGAGAAGGGCAAATGGGGAGATGGATGTGCTCTTCAGAGCAGATGCGTCTTTTCTCAACAAATATTTATTCCACGAAACTGATTTGTTAAACTGACGGTGTCAGGAATCCACACATCCAATTGGCATTTTGGGGAGCCTATCTATCTATCTATCTATCTGCCTGCATATATATATATATATATATGTATGTATTCATGCATATATATGAATATATACCTGTTTCTGTAAAGTATTATGTTCGATATTATACTGAGAATAGACCAAATCTACACATAGAATAGCTCTGTACGTGCCCTGGGTCTGGACCTTGAAGCATGCACTGTTTGTACAAGTGTTTTGTGGGCCTTTGCCATATCCAGAGGAGAGGCGTGCTACGTATTTCTATACATGACACACAGAGAGACGAAATCCATAAGTTGTAAATAGACCATGACCACTGTATGCATAGGCATATACCTGGGATTCCTGTAGTATGAAGTGTTCCTAGTCTATTTGCACCCAGCAGAAAGAGACAAAAATCTTTCCAGATTTGCAGTTCAGAACCACTTAGGGATGGACAGCTCCCCTGACAACCATCAGGACAGGCAAGGGCAAAACCAGGGCTTTCCCATTAGTGATAACAGCCCGCGAGAACCTCTTTCCCTCCCTCTTCCTCTGCTCAGGATCCTGTTGACTGTGGTGGTGATCTTCCGGATCCTCATTGTGGCTATCGTTGGGGAGACGGTGTATGATGATGAGCAGACCATGTTTGTGTGCAACACTCTGCAGCCCGGCTGTAACCAGGCCTGCTATGACCGAGCCTTCCCCATCTCTCACATCCGTTATTGGGTCTTCCAGATCATAATGGTGTGCACCCCCAGTCTCTGCTTCATCACCTACTCTGTTCACCAGTCGGCCAAGCAGCGAGAACGCCGGTACTCTACTGTCTTCCTAGCTCTGGACAGAGACACCCCTGAGGCTATGGGGGGTCCTGGAGGGACTGGGGGTGGCAGCAGTGGTGGAGGCAAACGAGAAGATAAGAAGTTGCAAAATGCCATCGTCAATGGGGTGCTGCAGAACACAGAGAACACCAGCAAGGAGACAGAGCCAGATTGCTTAGAGGTTAAGGAGCTGACTCCACACCCATCAGGTTTACGCACTGCTGCGAGATCAAAACTCCGCAGACAGGAGGGGATCTCTCGCTTCTACATTATCCAAGTGGTGTTCCGAAATGCCCTGGAGATTGGGTTTCTGGTCGGCCAATACTTCCTCTATGGCTTCAGTGTCCCAGGCTTGTATGAGTGTAACCGCTACCCTTGCATCAAGGAGGTGGAATGCTATGTGTCCCGGCCCACCGAGAAGACTGTCTTCCTAGTGTTCATGTTTGCTGTGAGTGGCATCTGCGTCGTGCTCAACCTGGCTGAACTCAACCACTTGGGGTGGCGCAAGATCAAGCTGGCTGTGCGAGGGGCCCAGGCCAAAAGGAAGTCAGTCTATGAGATCCGGAACAAGGACCTGCCCCGGGTCAGTGTTCCCAATTTTGGCAGGACTCAGTCAAGTGACTCTGCCTATGTGTGAAAGGGAAGGCCTTTGGGGTAACAAGAAGCCCCAAGATAAATGAACTGATCAGGAGTGGATAAGTCAGGCCTTATTCAAAAAAGCGAAAATGTAGGATAAGGCTGGTTAAAAGAAGATCTTGCATTAATCGGAGAGGAGAAAAAGTGGACTCATTATCACGTATTATGCCACTGGCTCCACAGAGGCTATTGAGCTCCACTGAGTAGAGGGTGAGATGGATGAGTTGACTTCTCTCTTTGGACCCTTTTCTTTTATGGTCCAGGTTCTGATAACAGTGGACTTGCACAGCCACCAAGCAGGACTTAGCTCTGCTGAGCTCTGAATTCTGGTAAATGGCATGAGTCAAATACTTCATTAATACAAATTTTGTGACCTATTTCAACACATCCCTTTATCCTGGGCTGCAGGACAAATATCCTCGGGGACCCTCCACGTGTCTCCTCTATCAGCATGCCCCTTTTCCTCAAACCAGGATAGCATGCCAGCTTTTTCTGAACCAGGCCTTACATTAGACCTAATGTGGTTTATCTGCAAGCTAGAGGGAATTACATGGGGTGCTTTCTGGAGCCTGGCTGTGGCAGAGGTTTGCACTAGAGCCTCATCATACTGGCTCTTAGTCATTATGAAAACCTTAGGAATGTCTCAATATTTCCAGTTTTCTAACTCAAATTGCACTGGTGCTGTTTATTATGGGCCAGGGATGGGCGGGCGGGAGGGGATGGCAATATGCAACTACAACACTTCTGTGAGATGGTTGTTGCACTGTTAGGCATGTATTTATGAGCTTTGGGGTATTTCTGCCCTCCAGTTTGTGGACTTTGAATAGCATTAAAAAATTTTTTGTTTTTGTTAATAATGAGGGTATTTACCCAAGCCACAGAATTTCTAGCTGGTGTATCTTACTCATTTTATTATATAGTTCTGTTGTGTATCACATCATGGCTGCACATTTTGCAATGGTTTGAATTTACCTGTGGGCTCACACCAGAGACCTTAATCAGCCCATGTCAATCCCAATTTATTATTTTATCAGTTAGTTTTGAAGCACACATACACACACAATCACCAGCTGAAAAACCTGAAACTAAACACTATTGGCTAACACCTGTTTACAGATGCTTATTTGAGACATATACCAAAGGTTCAAAAACCTATTGCTTTGGATTGTGAACATGTTTCCTTCTCTTTGCTCTTATTTATTTAAGTGCCAACTGTTCCTTTAACATCCACTGTGTATTTAGTTAAAGCATTGGCCAAGAGTGATATATGGATAATGTGCTTTTATGAAGCTCTCCATTTCCTTTGAATTTTCATTACCATTTTGATCTATGTGGATATGATGTAATATAAACCAGGATTTATTTAAAATAAAATTCTCACCTTTTTTTGTAAAAAAGGCAGTGTCTGCATTTTTCTATTTTTATCAGAGTTCTATTTATTTAAATAAGTGTTCAGAAATGCTACAACAGTAGAACATTGGGGGCAGGAAGTGATCAGTGAATGAAAAATAGTTGAGGGATGATCAATACAATTCAATCAGCCACTAGCAGATGAAGACAGGTTGGCATGTTTTGTGAATGCTTACAGGGAGGGAGGAGGTCTTCAGATAATGGTATTCACTCCTTTCTACTGTGCTTGAAATCTCTCTGCCTGTCTACTTTTTGTAATACAAAAGTCAAGGCTGTATCATTGTAGCTCATTCCAGGTGTGATTCCCCCCCCTTACCATATTTTTTCCTGCTGTGGATTATTAATTTGGCAGATGTGCTATTATCCCCCTTGTCTCTTCAGGGTTTGGGGTGTAATGTGGTGATAACCATTTGTCACAAGGGACCCTCTTCTGCCAGCACCGTCCAGTAGAATTTTCTTCAGTGATGTAAGTTTCTTCTATTCCATATGGCAGCAACTAGCCACCTATGACACCTGACTGCTTAAAGTGTGGCTAGCACAACTGAAGTACTGAATTTCTAGTTTTATTTAATTGCAATTCATTCAAATACCCATGTGTGGCTGGTTGCTAGTGTATTGTAAAGTACAGTTCTAGGCTTTTAATCAAGTTAATCAAAGGGATGAACTTTGCTATATGTCTTAGACCTTTTTTAGCCACACCATTTTCCTATCACTTTTGACATTTTTTGCCTATGTGTGGTCTCATTAGTTCAGTAGCTGATGCTTTTCTTCAGTTATTTGGTGTTCTTCACCTCCAAATTCCGAGGAGTAGTTTCTTTGAAGATCACAAAACAACATGAAATTTCCTAGATGATTGTTTTTCAAGCACAATTGTTGCACCTTTTACTATTGGCAGCGCAGATGCCAATGTTAGAGTGAGATTTATGTATTTCAATCTATAGGTTTTCAACGGAAGTATAAATAAGCAGTT